CTACATGTGCTGATGAGAACAATGTATATTCTGCAGCTGTTAGGTGGAATGTCCTGTAAATGTTAGGTCCATTTGCTCAACAGTGTGTCAACTCCCATGTATCTTTATTGATTTTTTTGTCTGGATTATGTGTCCATTGATGAGAGTGGGGTGTTCAAGCCATGTCCTATTATTTTATTGGAGTCTGTCTCTCCCTTTTGGTCTAATAGTATTTTCTGTATATATGTATTCTGCATATAAATTTAAGATTGTTATGTCTTTTTGCTGAATTGAACCTTTTAATAAAATATGTCCTTCTTTACCTCTTTTGAAGGGATTTGATTTAAAGTTTTTAATCTGATCAGGATAGCTATGCCTGCTTATCTTTTTCCAACCCTTTATGTTCAGTCTGTATGTATCTTTGTGAAGTGAGTTTCTGTGTGCAGCATATAGTGGTGGCATGGTTTGTTTTTATCTCAGCCAACTTAAGTCTTTTAGTTAATGATTTTAATCCATTTTACATTCAAGGTTAGTATTGACATATAAGAACCTGTCCTTTCATTGAGTGGATGATTCTACCTGCTCTGTTAAGTGTATTTGGTGGTGTCATGTGTTTACTTTTTTTTTTTTTTAAGATTTATTTATTTTATTGAAAAGGCAGAGTTAGAGAGGGAGGGATGGAGATCCTCCATCCGCTGGTTCACTCCCCGAATGGCCACAACTTCCAGAGCTGGGCCTGACACCAGGAGCCAGAAGCTTACTCCGGGTCTCTTATGTGGTTGATAGGGGCCCAAGCACTTGGGCCTTCCTCTGCTGCCTCTCCAGGCACACTAGCAGGGAGCTGGATCAGAAGTGGAGCAGCTGGGATGTGAACTGGCACCCACACAGGGTGTCAGTGCTGAAGGCAGCTTAACCCACTGCACCACAGTGCTGGCCCCCACATTTTGAATTTTTGATGTCCAGTTTTACCTCTTTCTATATTGCCTTCCTCAACATATTAATGTGGTTATTATTTTGTCTTCATACTATAGATTTGAATAATTACCTCATTTATAATATTAGAACATTCTCAGTTTTCTTAAAAGTATTTTTACCAGTCAGTATTCTACCTTTGGATATTTTCTTAATCATTTTGGATCTTTCAGTTTTAAAAACTCCTTTTTAGCATTTCTTGTAAGACAGGCCTGGTGGAGACAAATTTTCTCAGCTTTTATTTGTCTAGGGATGCCTTTCTCCCTCCTATCTAAAGGACAGCTTTACTGAGTACAGCATTGTTGGCCAGCAGTACTTCTGTTCTGTCAGAGTCTCGTCTCACTCCCTCCTGGCTTGTAAGATCGCTGCTGAGCGGTGAATTGGAACACTCTCATGTATTGGATCATTCTTTTCTTTTGGAGCAGACATGGTTGAAGTGAATCGGACTGGTGACCTCTGATCATCTTGTATCTGGTAGTTTTATGTTTCTCTAGGTTTGGGAAATCTTTTGTTACTATTTCTTAGAATATGCTTTCTACCCTTTTGGCATTCTCAAGTTCCTCTTGAACCCCACTAACTTGGCTATGTTTTTCTCCCAAAGTTCCTGTAAACTTCTTTCATTTCTTTTTTTCTTCCTCCTGTGTATTTAAAATAGCCTATCTTTAAGATTACTCTTTCTACTGCTCGATTTGCTCTGTTGTTGATGCATTGTATTGTGTGTTTAATATTGGTTGAGGAATTTTGCTGTTGAGTATTAAATCATTCTGGGGCCAGCACAGTGGCATAGCGGGTAAAGCCGCCACCTGCAGTGCCAGCATCCCGTATGGGTGCCAGTTTGAGTCCTGGCTGATCCATATCCAATCCAACTCTCTGCTATGGCCTGGGAAAGCAGTAGAAGATGACCCAAGTCTTTAGGCCCCTGCACCCACTTGGGAGACCTGGAGGAGGCTCCTCCTCCTGGCTTTGGATTGGCCCAGCTCCGGCCGTTGTGGCCAACTGGGGAGAGAACCAGCGGATGGAAGACCCCACCCCCACCCCCGCCTCTCTTACTCCCTCTCTGTAACTCTTTGAAGTAAATAAGTCTTAAAAAAATCATTCTTCTGTGTTCCTTTAACATTCATTGAATTTCCTTAAACAACTTTTTTTTTTAAATTATTTGTATTTATTTGGAAGTCAGTTACAGAGGGAGACACCGAGAGAGCCCTTCCATCTGCTGGTTCACTCCTCAAATGTCCACTATGGCCATTGCTGGACCAGGTTGAAGCCAGGAACTTCTTAGTCAGGGATCCAGACACTGGACTTCTTGCATTGCTTTTCCCAAGCCATTAGCAGTGAGCTGGATCAGCAGTGGAGCAGCCGGAACATGAACTGGCACCCATATTGGATGCTGGCATCATGGGCAGTGGCTTTACGCACTATGCCACAGTGCCAGCCATAACTATTTTAAATTCTTCATCTGAGCATTTGAAAGTTTCCTTTCCTATGTGGTTGTTTTTTGGCACCTATTCTGTTTATTAAGCGATATCACTGTTCCTTTAAAATTCTTGGTGCTTCTTGGTGTACACTGTTATCTGCAGACTGAGAGTAGCTATTTTTTCCAGTGTTTATAATCTGGCTTGCTTTGTTACTGTCCTTCAAGAAATCCTAAGCACTTTTCCCCTGAGGCCTGTGGACACCATTTCAGCACTAGATGGTGTCCTACATTAAGGTTTCCTACAAGTTCACTATTGATGTCCTGCCAGTGTGCCAGTGTTTCAGTCTCAGAGGTGCCTCTAGCTCAGATTCGTCCCAAATCTGCAGTTGTGATGTTCAGAATGAACCGGAGAAGTGTCTAAAAAGTGAGTAGTTTGTCCTTACCGGTGGGGCCGGGATAGGACGACTCCTAGTCCTAGCCACTAACGCAACAATGCTGCCAAGACCAGCACAGCACACGTATGAGACCAAAGCCTACGCTACACAAATACTCTCTGCTGATGAGGAAGACTTAAAGCCCAAGGCTGCTGAGGTGAGCCAGGTGAGGCGACTGGAATATACGTCCAATCAGCTGGGGGCACCATGCTCCATTTGCTAGGGGGCAGTTCCAGAATCTGTCAAACTGGTCTGGGGGCAGGGGCTCTGTCCAGCACTAGTTTTTAGAGTGGCTGGCCTGGTACTGGCTTTCAGGTCTAGTATCTTGATTCTAACTCCCTGAAGTGGGAGGCTGTGCTACTTGGGGGGAGTGATGCCACAGGCAACTCTTTCCTTCCTGATTTCATGTATTTTTTATACCAAAACCAGATATTAAGGTTTCTCATTTGGTTTTCTATGTCTTGTGCAGGTGACTTGGCATGTTAAAGCTGTTCATATTGGTGTCTCTGTGGGGAGACCATTGCTAGAGCATCTACTCAGCCAACAACTTCCTCTGTCCTGCTGTCAATGATATTCTGTCTTGAAAAAAAGTGGTTCTAAAGCTTGAAAGCTTTTGTCCTGTATCTTGAACATCTTTGCTCATCTCAATTTTGGCATCCAATGATTCTCTCTGCCCCACCTTCATTTAAGTTGAGATCTGATTCCTGATATTTAAAATGATTTTTTAAATAAAAATTGAGAGCTTTTCATATTATGAGACACTGAGTCTTATCCCAGTTTCCACATACTTTGGCTGCCATGGGTGGGGCATGGGCCATAGTTTTTTTCCTTTGCTTTCCCCTGTAGTGTTTAGCTGCTGTGAGCCATTGTCTTCTAAAACTCCTCCCTCCTGCGTGGCTACTATGTTTAGGTCCTAGGCCAGGGGAGAGGAGGCTTTCCCTGAAACTTTGTCTGCAGCCATAGGCAATTGAGGTTGCTGATTTCTTCAGCTGCAGGCTGGGGTCTAGCAGGTGAAGAGAAAAGCCAGGGCCCTAACCACATGATTCCTAGCTGACCTGCATTCCTCTCTTCCCACTTCAGAATCTTAGGTTTGTTTTACATGTAATGCAAAGGATTCCTAGTTGTAGCCAAGGCATAATTATTTATTTATTTTTTTTTTGATAGGCAGAGTCAGAGTCAGAGAAAGGTCTTCCTTCTGTTGTTCACCCCCAAATGGCTGCCACGGCCGGCACTGCGCTGATCTGAAGCCAGGAGCTTCCTTCTGGTCTCCCATGTGGGTGCGGGGCCCAAGTACTTGGGCCATCCTCCACTGCCCTCCCGAGCCACAGCAGAGAGCTGGGCTGGAAGAGGAGCAACTGGGACAGAACTGGTGCCCATATGGGATGCCGGCGCCACAGGCAGAGGATTAGCCTAGTGAGCCACAGTGCCCGCAGTTGTAGCCAAGGCATAGGTTTTGAATTAGAATACAGTCACTGGGGCCTGAAGCGCTGGCATCCCATATGGGCACCAGTTTGAGACGCGGCTGCTCCACTTCTTATCCAGCTCTCTGCTACAGCCTGGGAAAGCAGTAGAAGATGGCCCACGTCCTTGGGCACCTGCACCCACATGGGAGACTCAGAAGAAGCTCCTGGCTTCGGATCAGCACAGCTCTAGCCATTGTGGCCAATTGGGGAATGAACCATTGGATGGAAGACCTCTCCCTCTCTCTCTGCCTCTCCAGTAAAATAAATAATTTTTGAAAAAAAAAAAAAAGTCACCCTGTACATCTGTTTGACGTCCGTGTTCTTAGTGGTGGAAGGGGAGGACAGAATTTCTAGATGGTAGGGGCTCTTTCTGCTATTGTTTCACTCACGCAGTTTGTCTGAAGTGGGGCATAACTATGGCCACAGCAGTCAATGCATATATCTACTTGTAAAAGATTTTACAAGCTTGATAACCAGTACAGTAGACAGCATGATTATCTTATGGATATTGTCAATGCTTTTAAAGTATCTTTGATAAAGAAATTGAAAGACTACTTGGAGACAACAGTTAAATATCATTAACTACCAATAAAATAATCTATGGGATTTTTAGAAATAAAACAGTCTGGTATTGTATGTCCATCTAAGTTGTATATGAATGACCATGTGTACGCATATATCTACACATGTATGCTAATAATACTCAAATTTATGAGGTTTTTGTTCTTTTGCATGTAGCTTCTCTGTATACAGACTGGTGAAAAAATCATCAGAGATAATCAACAAAACTTCAAACCTAAACTTGATAAGCAAAATAAGAAACTGCTGTGTGCAAAGTGCAAAGCCTTGGCATGTTACACATCTGAGATAAGAATGGTAAAGGTAAGCATCTTCTTGCAAAGAACCTGGTCATGTTTGAGCACTAGTTCAAACTGTTAGTGACATATTTATATTACTATCACTACTTCTGTTATGCTGTCACCCATGTATTTAAGCAACAAGAGTAAAAAAACTCAACCTTCAGAAATAGTATTTGGTTGCTTTCGAGCAATGTGAGCAAGATGACTGACTCTAGGTGCCTGGTGTGCTTCCCTGCACAAAAAAGGGCCAAAATTGAGCATTTAAAGATGCAACAGAGATGCCTCTATGCACAAAGACACAGGATGGCTTTTTTTTCTAAAGAGGTAGAGACAGAGAGGTCTTCTATCTGTTGGTTCACTCCCCAGATGGCTGCAACAGCTGGAGATGCACCAATCAGAAGCCAGGAGCTTCTTCTGGGTCCCCCACATGGGTGCAGGGGTCCAAGGACTTCGGCCATCTTCTACTGCTTTCCCAGGCCATAGCAGAGAACTGGATAGGAAGAGGAGCAGCCTGGACTTGAACCAGCATCCATATTGGATGCCGGCGCTTCAGGCCAGGGCATTAGCCTGTTGTGCCACAGCATTGGCCCCAGGATGGCCTTTTAAAGCAGGGAAGGATGCAAGCAGCACCTACCATCCCCATCTCCCCAGTTGAAATTAACCCTGCCTGAACCAGGACTGGAGTGTCTGTGGTGGGGAATGGGTGAGCAGCATGTCTGTAGTGGTCCCCACTAATGCCACGGACACCTGACACATTTGCTGCCAGAGGAGCCTGCAAAGGAAATAATTTGAATTACCTGGAGGGAAAAAGGCAGCTAACTAAAGACTTACTGAGATATGAGAGTACATTGAAATTAGGAAGATAATTCTTGTTATTAATGAGAGATTCGGCAAAAGGATAAAAGAATGAGAAATAATTCAATAAGCTGGGATAGGTGGTGTGGCTCAATGGGTTAAGCTGCCATTTGGGATGCCCACATGGCCAGTTCAAGTCCTGGCTACTCTGCTTCTGATCCAGCTCTCTCTTGATGCACCTGAGAAACAGCAGCTCAAATATCTGATTTCTTGCCACAGATGTAGATGGAGTTCTTGGGTCTTGGCTTCAGTGGCCATTTGAGGGATGACCCAAGCGATGGAAGGTCTGTCTCATTCTACCTTTCAAATAAGTCTAAAAAAATTTAAAGTTAATGGAATTTAAAAAAGTTTGAAGCCATGATGATGAAGCCATGATCAGGCAGAATTTGAGCCTTTTGAAATAACCCAATCATAAAAAGCATCAAGTAGAAACACATTTAAAAAAGCAAGGAAAACCTTCAAGATGTAGGAGACACTGTTAACCAGGCAAGCCTTCACATTATGGGTGTTTCAGAGGGGAAAGCAGCATAAAAAACCATTAAATTATTTACTGAAAACTTTCCAAATCTTGGCAAAGATATAGACTTCCAGGCCTAGAAAGCTCAAGTGACCTCTTAGATTCAACTGGGCATCCTCTCAAAACCCAGATGAGGTGTCAGCTTATCTTAGAATGGCTATTACAAAAAAGGCAATAAATAAATGTTGCCAAGGATCTGGACAAAGGATCTTGCATTCACTGCTTTTGAAATGTAAATTAGTACAGCTATTATTTAAAATGGTCTAGAGATTCATAAAAAAATAAGAACCACCATATGATCCAGTTGTCCCACTACTAGGTGTATATATGTGTGTGTGTGTGTGTATATATATATATATATATATTTATTTATTTATTGAGGAGGCAAAGAGAAAGCTCTTCATTCTGCTGGTTCACTCATGAAATGTCTGCAACAGCCAGGGCTAAGCCAGGCCAAAGCCAGGAGCCCGGAGCTTCTTCTGGGTCTCCCATGTAGGTGCAGGGTCTCAAGCACTTGGGCCATCTTTGTCTGCTTTCCCAGGCACATTAGTAGAGAGCTGAATTGGAAGAGAAGCAGCCAGACATGAACTGGTGCCCATATGGGATTCAGGCACCTCAGGCAGAGGCTCAACCTCATATGCCGCAGTGCCGGCCCCCTACTGGGTATATTTTCTACAGGACATAAATCAGTATATCAAAGACATACCTGCATATTCATAATAGCCAAGAAACAGACACACCAAGGTATGTGTGGATAGGTGAATGGCTAAAAAAAAGTGTTGGGGCTGTGTGTCTGTATAAAGAACATGGGTAATTCAGAGTTTGTGGGAAGAGAACTTATTTTCCATGAATGTACTTTGATGTACTTTTATATCTATTATATTAGAATATTATTCTACCATGAAAAGTGAAATCCTGTCATTCCCAGTGGCATGGAGGGGACTGTTAGGAGACAATGTGCCAGAGCCCGAAAGATCAATACCATATTGTGTGTACACTAAAGATGATTTAATAGAAGCTGAGTACAGAATAGTGATCACTAAATATAAATGCAGGGGAAGAAGTCGGAGAACAGATATCAAATATAGTGAAAAGGAGTTTAGTGTTCCCCAGTGTAGCAGGGTGACTGCAGTTTACAATTACATTTCTTATAAAGACCTAGAAGAGGTGTTTGAAGGTTGACCCTGCAAAGAAGTGATATTTGAGATGGAAGTCAGACACAACATGCATGTTATCAGACAGTCACTGTACCCTAGGAATGTTATATAAATCAAAAACTGTCACCACTTATATAGCCATTAAAAACAATGGTTATGCTCAATACGAGGTAGTGTTCTCAGAGCCTGAACAGATAAGTGATCTTTAAATAAGAATGGTAAAATCTGCAGTGTAGCTGGTAGTAATGTAAGGTGTTAGCACTTGGGCAAAGCGGGCCAACAGTGTACAGGAATTTGCAGTGACTGTGCTGGCTTCGGCAGCACATATACTAAAACTGGAAAGAACTTGCAGTGACCACTTTCTAAGTTTTCTGCAAGTTTACTCTTAAGTAAAATTTATTTAAAAACGTATCACACTTATATGTAGAATAAAACACTGCTTGAAACCTAATGGTAATTTTTGAAAAATCTGAATACAAAACTGTAAATGTTGTTTATAGCTCTGTAAAACAGCAGCAGCACCACCACCAGAAAAAAAAATTCAAAGTCACATATATATTTTCCACCTGCTATGCCATGACACGGGCCCCCTACGTCTGTATAGAAAGAGGAAATATGCCAAAATATGAAAATATTTTAGTGATGTGATTCTACGTGGTTTTTCTATTTCACAAATATTCTTTTTGGGATATGGCTTGCTTTATAATGAACACAAAGTACATCTGTATTTTTAACATACAGCAGTTGTGGGTTGGCTTTTTTTTTTTTTTTTTAATTTTTTGATCAAAGTTTAGAAAGTTTCCTAAAGTTGAAAGTCAGGTGTCAGTCTGCCACTGCCCATGGTGAGCAGGTGGAGTTGGGGGTGGGGGGGCAGTGATGTGGCATTACTTTCGGGTCCTGTTTGGTCCTCAGAGAGTTGCCATGGGTCCCCCTGGACCCACAACATATTGGGAGGGATGCTGGCACCTTCCCTCACCCTCACCCTCACCCTCACAAGTCTGCATGTTTAGCTCTTGACAATCTGGACAACTTTTCCTATTGAAAATGGCCCTCTTAAGATATGCTTTGCTGAAGGAGCGGTAAATTGGAAAATGTTCCCGTGCAGTTTACCGTGGACAGCAGGTGGAACCCGTGTACACATCCGTCCCTGGTCCCCTTTAGATGTTGTCGGCCCTGTGCATTTCTTCCTGGTTACCTGTGTACTTCCCGGTCCTCTTCCTCTCATTTGCCCCCCCTCCCCCCCGGGGCACCTCTCTACCACCTCCTCCCCACCAGCTTGGTGGCTCCTAATCTGGCTTTCAGATGAGTATTTCCTTCTCTCTCCAGGTGTAACACATGTAGGATTTCATGTGCGCCTCATTTTAGATTACTCTGGGGCTTGTGGGTTTTTAGATCAGTTACATACTGGTTCTAATGTTCTCTGTGTGCATTTGACCCCCTCATTTTAGGATTCCCATTACACTGTGGTTGGAGAGACTTTTAAGAAGTGCTTTGTGACCAGACCACACCCCAGACCAAAGAGTTGTGGGGATTTTGACAAGATAGGGAAGATATTCTGTGCCAGACAAGACTGCAGCCATGACTGGGGAATCCGTGCAAAGGTCAATGCTTTTGAGATTCCATTAATCAAGATTCAGAGTTTTGTGGTGGAAGACACTGTGACTGGAAAACAGATGTGTCCCTCAAAGTGGAAGGACTTTAATTTTGAGAAGATACCATTTAATCCTGAAGAACTGTCTGAATGACCTGAGGGCCTCAGACTTCAACTATAGAGAATAGGCAACTTTAAAGAAATAAGTATAATTGGCCATGGACTGCTGGTACTACTTGGAAGATATTTTACATAATGCTGACCTAAATATCACGTAATTTCACTTACTGTTTAACAGATTGAACTGTATCAGAGTACTTACAGCTTATGGAAAATGGAATTAAAAGATGTTTGTTTTGGTGCAAAAAGTTTTGAAATCTGCTTTCAAGGAATGTTCAAAAAATTCATGGATAATGAGAACTATACATGGATTTCAGGTTTTTTTCGGCAGCAAAGCATCTTTTAATTCCGTTTTTGCAAGAACGTTTTGTAATATCCTTGTACATGAAAAAATGTGAGTGAGTCACAGTATGAATACTTAAAAAAAAGATATTTAATTTTTCCTAATCTTCTTTAGAGCCACTTGCCAATGAAGAGAGTACCCCACCAGTACACGCTGGGGTGGATGAACGGAACGCTGAAAGGTTTTCCATTCCACTTTCTTAACCTACAGTAAACTGGCTTTTACCTTGATGTGTTGAAATCATTCTTGTCAAGGACTCCAGTGACTGTGGTTGGCAAATCCATTTGGTCACGTCTTGGTCCTACTTGATGTCTTTGCTGTTTGTGGCCCGGGTGAGTGCCCACTTCTTAGAACTGTCCCCTGGCTTCTCTCTCAGATCTTCCCCAGTCTTATAAAATCCCTTAAATGTAGATCACTCCAAGGGTTCAATATATATAACTAAATACTAAATATAACTAAATAAATATGTATGTACAAGAGATCTTAAACTTAATTCCATTTTCTATGAAAATTTATTTTGGTCCAAAAAATTTTGAAATCCTTGCATATTTGGGGCCTTAAAAAAGTTATGCATGTATTTGAGTTTTTGGTATCAACATAAATCTTTCTCTGCCTTGGAAATAATCTTTAAAAAAAAAAAAAGTCTTCCATCTGCTAGCTCACTCCCCAAATGGCTGCAAAGACCGAAGCTCCACTGATCTGAAGCCAGGAGCTCCTTCCAGGTCTCCCAGGCTGTAGCAGAGAGCCAGATTGGAAGTGGAACAGCTGGGACTCGAACCGGTGCCTATATGGGATGCCAGCACCACAGGCAGCAGCTCTACCTACTACGCCACAGCACTGGCCCCAACTTTTTATTTCTACATGAGCCCTAGAATAGTTCCATGTACCTATGTTCTCTGAGTAGTAATGTATAGCATGGTAATCTTGAAACTGTATAGTAGAGAGCTTTCAGTGAGAACACAAATGATGGGATGATTACTGAAGTTCCTTGTGTTCTTTTAGTTTACTCTTACCACGCGCTGTTGATTTCCTTTATTTTACCATTGTTTCTTTTGAAGGTCATCTAAAGCCATTTTCTAAAATGGCTGATGAACACTTGGACTATCTTGTTCTCAAGTCACTCAAATTATAATGATGAGGCTGTTTGATTTGGCTTTCCTTTGTACATAAAAAATTGAAACATGGGGCTCGGATCAGTGCTGTGGCATAGCAAGTAAAGCTGGCACCTGCAATACTGACATCCCCTAGGGGGCACCAGTTCATGTCCTGGCTATTCCACTTTCAACCCAGCTCCCTGCTGATGGCCTGGGAAAAGAAGCAGAAGATTATCTAAGTGTTTAGGCCCCTGGCATTTATGTGGGAGAGCTAAAGAAGTTCCTGGCTTTAGCCTGGCCATTGTGGCCATCTGGGGAGTGAAGCAGCAGATGGAAGATCTCTCTGTAATTCTGTCTTTCAAAAAAAAAAAAAAATTGAGACATGTATCCAAAAGACATTCCTCCATCACTCAGCAAGATTTGCTGATGCTTCAGAGAGAGCTTAGTTTTTGGGTTTTCAGACATGGAGATGGGGCTTGAGCTTTGTTATTTACATCCAAGGTAACATCTACAGTAACTGTAGGGGCTGCTAGAAATTTAAACATCTTCCTAAAACAGACTCAGAATAGTTGTAATTCACCAGGACCATTAAGGGCCTAAGCAAAATGCCAAAGACCATAAAATGTGATTAATACGTTCCCCACGAATGGTCTGAGAGCAGCTATTCCAGCAGAGTGTCCAGCCTGGTGGAGTTCTATAAAAGCTCTTCTACAACCCCAGACGCCCAGCTGCTGACATGGTGTTTCACCCAGAAATGAAGTCATCCTCCAAGGCCTGATAGGGCAGCGAGGCCAGTGACTTCTATCCTTCAAACACACTTACTACGCACTGAATTGCAAACAGCATCAGGGTGCCCTGTGGGGAACAATGACGTGAGAGTCTGAAGAGAGCATTCTATAGGAGGAGGTAGGCTTCTGTACTGTATGTTGCCACCCTTCCACTCCAAGAGCGATTTACAGCACTGTCCCTTCTGTGGGTAGTAAGAATGATTTAGCCCAGTTGGTTCCTAGACACACTCATCATCAGCCCTTCTGTTCCTGGGACGCTGATAACATCCGCCAGCAGCAGGTACCTGGCCTAGACACGGACCAGGTGAGGGATTGCTGGTGGCTTCCGCATCACAGCCCCATCGATGAGGACTCTGCTCCCATGCTCTAGTCACCTTCACAAGGTCCCACCACTGTCACAACACACAAATGGTATGGGTGCACAAACATTCCAACCACAGCAACCTCTCAATGTGGAAAGCTTAAACAGCCCCTCAGGTGGCTGGTAATAAGGACCTACAGGAGTGGAGTTTTACCAGCCTTAGTACTGTTACACTAGGACTGAACCTCATCTTTCTGTACAAGATCCCTGAATGAACTGTCTGATGGGGCAAGCAGTGGACAGAGGATTGGGTCCCAGTGCTCATGACCAGGCCACATCCCCTGAGTGATACCACTGAGATTAAAAATTCATGGCAAGAGACATCAAGATGGCCAGGTAGACACGCCTAGTGTTCTCCTCTCCCATTGCTAAAAATTGAAACAACAAATAAATGGCTGTTTTGAAGTGAGTGGCCAGGGGGTGAACTATGGAACTCGGCAAGGAAGACCTGGGGTGGCAGCAAGAATTAGGGACTGACAAAGAGCACTGGGAACAGCACCCCTGGCCCTACAGTTGAGGGAATTCCCCACTACAGGGATAGGGCAGAGGGGTGAGCTCCAGTGTCCCCCCCCCCCAATCTCCTCAGATGCCGTTAGTCAGCAATTGTAGTCACAGGGGAGAACCATGGCTGACACAGGCTTGGGGCACAGGAGCTCTGCTTCAGACAGGCAGTGACATTAGTGATCCCACAGCACAGGCTGCACCAGTGTAGCACCACCACTGGATTTTTTACTGCCCTAGCGTATGGAAGCTATCTATCCCCATCCTTGGGGCCCTGGAGATATTCCACACTTACAAAACCATGAACCCCAGTAGCACAATTGTTGACACCAGCATCAACGTTCATGCAGTTGGCCAGATGGGTCAGTACAGCAAGAGGTTCTGTCCCCACGAGCCTAGAAGCTATGGTGCTTGCCCTCTTGTACTTGGGGCCTCTCTTCCCCTAACACATCTCCCCCCCACTGCCTAAGGCACGGTATGCTCCTGAACACTGCCTACTGCCAGCACCTCCACAGTACTACTGGGCAAAGAACAAGCACCCTGGGCCCTGCTGCTGCTGATTGTAGCAGAAGCTAGAGGGAGACTGCACTGTGGCACCCAACTGGGACTAAAGCCAAAGTTGCTTATCAAACTGATAACGGAAGACAAACCTTCAGTGAAAAAGCCTTTTGCCACAAAAGCCACTCTATAAAAATGAGATCTTGTAGATGTGTAAATATCAGTGTGGGACACAAATAAGAAAATGCAAAGTAACATGTGACCAAAGAAACAGCAACTCTTTAGCATGCAACTCCCCAAATAAAAGGGTATTGATTAAAAAGGCATTTTAAGAATTAAAAAAATGAGATATGGAATAAAGACAGTTCACTGAAATGAGGAAACAATACATGAAAACAAACAGCAATCTTACTAAAGAACCAAACACAAATCTTGGGGATGGCGAATGTACTATGTTAAATAGAAAATACAGCTAAAAGCATCAATAAGACTACATCAAGTAGAACACAGTGAACCTGAACTTGAAGACAAGTCTTACCAAATACCTTGGGTCAGGCTAACAACAACAAAATGGAATAAAGATGGTCTCTGAGACTTTTGAGATATCATTAATTGAACAAATATGCAAGTTCTGGCAATCTCAAAAGGAGATTCTAAGGCACAGAAAATATCTAGTTTTAGAAAATACATGAACATCAGGGTACAGATGACCAATTAAGACCATCAGGAGACATGACAAGAAATGATCCTCATGTCACATTAAACTGTCATAAGTACAACACAGAGAATCCTAGAAACTGCCAGGGTGCAGTGGTTAAACGTTGCTTGGGACGCCCACAATCCACACAGGAGTGCCTGTGCTTGAGCTTGAGTCTCTGCTTCTGATCCTGCGAAAGTGCACCCTGGGAAGCAACAGCTGATGGGCCCGACCCAGCCTTGGCTCTTGGTGCCATTCGGGGAGTGAACCAGTGGATGGAAAACCCCTCTGCCTTTCAAATAAATAAATATTAAAAAAAAAAAAAAAAAGTGGTAAGTCCTGAAAAAAATGCTCACCCTCCCACAGAAACAGCAATTGAGCACATGAAAATACCTTCGTAAGAGTTATGGAGAAGCGGGTAAGGCGTCATAACACCTGAATGCAGCACAGGGATAAGAAAAGATACAACGAAAAGAGAAGAAAGTACAGTTTTATATGACCCCACCCACCTTGGGAGGACAGAAACTGAACACTAGACTTTCCCCAATTCCAGGACCACCCCAGTAACAGTGCCAGTCATAGGTTATGCCACTAAACAAATCTTAAAGTCATCAAATATCTTTCCAATCACAAAAATAGAGAATACCAATGAAGAATTTTATAAAATTCACAAACACATGGAAATTAAACACTGTGCTTCTCAACAAAAATGGGTCAAGAAGAAATTAAAAGGAGGTGGGCATTTGGTCTAGCAACTGAGATGCTGGTGGGATGCCTGGATTCCATTCTCAGTTCTAGTTCCTGATTCCAGCTTGTTGCTGTACAGACCCTGCAAGACACCGGTCAATGGTTCAAGTCTTTGGGTTCTTTCCCAACATGGAGAACTGAGTTGAGTTCCCAGCTCTTGGTTTCAGCTGTGGCTTAAAGCCTTAATGGGCATGAGAAATAGGCATTTGAGAAATGGGCCAGCAGATGGGAGCTCACCATCTCTCTGCCTCTCAAACAAACTGGACACACAACACACCAAAACTTATGGGAAACACCAGAGGGAATTTTATAAACACCTATATTGCACATCCAAGTACAGGAAGCACATAGAATTCCTAATAGACATGACCAGAAAAGATCTTCACTGTAACACATTGTAATCAAAAATAAAGATTCTAAAATCTGCACCAGAAAAACACCAGATTACTCTCAGAGGATCTCCAATTAGACTTACAGCAGACTTCTCATCAGAAACCGTACAGGCTAGGAGAGAATGGCGAGATACATTCTAAGACTAAAGAGGAAAAAAACTGTCAGCCCAGAATATTATACCCTGCAATGCTCTCGGTAAAATAAATACCTTTCATAACAGAAATTGAAAGAATTTGTCACCACCCATCCAGCGCTACAAACATGCTTAAGGATGTGCTGCACACAGAAACATGGTCATCACTATGAAAGAAGGTAAAGGAAGAAAATCTCTCAGTAAAAGCTCAAAGGAAATTCAAAGTAAAAAATGGGAATATTTTTGAAAAATGGCAGGGTGAAGTCATTATTTATCAGTAA